TAGACAAATTACTAAAGGTCTTGTTTCCCTTTTTTTTTTTTCAAGAAGGTTGTGGAGTTAGCAGTAGGATGTTTGTCACCACATCTGAAGCAGCCCCCATGGATCTAAATTCCCCAGTTCTTAAGCCACTGGGGTCAGCTTGCATTGAAGTTAAGTGGACGCCACCTAAAAAGCCAAATGGAGTCATCATCAACTACTTTATTCACAGGTAACAGTGATTTATTTCTATTATTGTTAATTGTTTAAGAATGTGTACTATTCAGAAGTGTAGAATCAAATACATTTTCTATTTCCACAAGGGAGTGGATGGGAGTACATGCTTTTTGGAACACCTACTGGAAACTAAAATTGGTACTGGAAACTTTTACACATTATCCAAGGGAAAATGCCGCAACTGCCGTTTTTGTCTGAGCCCTCTTTAAGAGACAAGACCTCACAGCCCCATAAGCTCTACCTTTGATGGAGCAGTACAGCTGTCCCTGGACGCTCACTGACCAAGAGAACATAGTCATTCCAGAGGAGGAACCAGGTCTGGGACAAGAATTCTGATTATTTCCCATCACCTAGTATGTGGGGCTTGGAAAGGCTTTTGCTCATCCTCAAAAGACAGCACTTTTCATGCGCAGAGAGAAGGGTCACTCTGCAGCTCCCCCTTCTGTTTTGAGGTTTCCACTCTGCTGGAAACGATGTGCAAAATTTGTTAAGTGTATCCACCTAAAATGAAGAAAAGAGGGAAAGACAGCGGGGAGGGGGAGGAGAGAGTGAGGTGGAGGTGAAGAAAGAGAGTAGGGGAGAGGGAGGAGGAAGAGACAGCAGGAAAGGAGAAAGGAAAACAAAAACAGGGAAGGGACCAGAGGACCTGTTGGCTGAGAGCTTGCCCTCTGTCTTAGTCCATTCGGGCTGCTGTAACCAAAATACCGTAGACTGGGGTGGCTTGTAAACAAAACACGTTTATTTTCTGCAGTTCTGGAGGCTGGGAGGCCCAAGATCAAGGCGCAGTTACTGTCTGGTGAGGCCCACTTCCCGGTTCAGAGGTACCCTTCTCTCACTGTGTCCTCACCTGGCAGAGGGGGCCGGGGGCCCTGTGGTGCCTCTTTTATAAGGGCACTAATCCCATCCATGAGGGCTCCACCCTCATGACCTAGTCACCTCTGGAAGGCCCCATTTACTGATACCAACACCTTGGAGGTCAGGATTTCAGCATACGAATTTGAAGGGAACGCAACCATTCAGATGGTAGCACTGAGATGACAGAAAAGGTATTTTCTAAGACAGAGACTGGCAGACAGAAAGGATTTGCAGATGAAAAGCCCACTCCAAAAGCCCTGTATTTGCATCAGACACACAGAGCCCAACACATTTTTCTTGGATCCTTGCCCCACTTCAGCATCCTCTGTTAGTCCATCCAGCAGCCTCACGCCTTCCCTTGCTTGATCCTCCGCCCTGGTGGCATCGTTTGAAACTTAGTTTAGTCTCCTTTTATAACTTCAGATGTTGCAGCCCTTTGATTCAGACCGATTTTTGGTGATGAGCTAAGGGTTTGTGGGAAAATTATAAAGACAGAAATTATGATTGCATGTCTGGCTATGTAAATGACATGGCCCAAGATGAGCAAGCCAAATTTCTTCTCAGCAAACATTAATTTGAAGAATAGTATTTCTGATTCAGACACACACGGGCACGTGAAAATGGCTAATGTGAATTTACATTTTACGCTAAGCACATTAGTGCAGCCTCTAAAATGCCCATCCTCTTGGAATAGTTTTCTTTCATCTACTTAATGCTAATTGTATGAGAAAAGCACATCAAATTCCTATTCTGAATAAAGGGAAATAAAGTATCTGTTATAGAGCAGGATGTGGCTTCACTCGGTTGGTTTTGTAAATAAAGCTCATGATTGCAGTGACTATTCCATGGCAGCTATGGAGAGGGAAAACAGGAAATATAATGCAGAAAGCTCGCTTCAATGAAAAATACTGTAAATTGAATTTGACAGCATTTGATGGAATTTGATTATTCTAGTCACAGCCAAACAATGATATAAAGAGTAATATGAAACAGAATGTGTTACTGCCTAGCCGACTCAAAAGCAATAAACCTTCCTCCAATGTGACACAATCACTTCACAATCATAATTGTAGCCTGTTTGATACCTCTGAGTACAGCAGAAGGGCACTGACTGACACAGATACATTTTGTTTTTTATTTAAAGTGAAATGAAAATGGCGCACTGGGGCTCCAGATACAATCGTTATATTCACCTACACAGGCATGAATCACTTGGCAGTTATTTCTGCTGAAGTTTAAATGTGCTTAGACAACAACAATATCAAATTTTTCTTAGATAGCTGCAAAAAAAAAATCAGAAATTTGTAAGGACAGAAATAGAAGGTAGGCACGTAGCTCTTTTTCATTCTGGGGCTACGTGGGGCCTCTTGGGTAGTGATGGCCACAAGCCTGCGGTGTTTCTGGGAGGTAGTGGCAAGTGATTTCTGCTTCATCCTTTGCCCCCTCTCTCTCTTCTAGCATCACCAGAGGAAATTCATTTAGCTCAAATCAAAGACGGGGTTTGACCTATGCAGATATTTTCATTAAATTGCGGAAAGCCAACTTGCCGATCCCATTTTGAAAATGTTTGTCACTCTGCTCTCTCCAGCCTCCCAAATCATTTCCCCTCAGTAATTCCCTCCTGTGGGTTAGACGTTGCCTTAGATATCATCCTGTTGAAAAGTGTCTGCCCTGATAAACAGATAAGATGTTTATGACTTTAAAAAATAAAACAAAAAATAACCTAGTAAGGGCAAGACTGTTAATACAGTTACTTCTGGTTATTTCTCCTGTTAACTTGCTATTTTGTTCAGACTGCTTTGTGGACCACGTGTGAGTTACAAAGGATGTTTTCTACCATAGGAACATCCTTTATGTTAGTGTTTTGCAACCTGTTTATTGATAGCGTACCGACAAGGCCGTCTTGGAGGTCTGCTTTCTCCCCATAGTAAGTGTGGTTTCTATGGTAAGGTTCTTCCATATTCCCTCTTTGTTTTACATCTGTAATCGTAAGTGGCAAAATCCATCCACAAAAATCCAGCTTCTGTATACAAAATTCACCAAATGCTTTTTCCTAAGAATTTACAAAACATGTAATAAAATGGTCTCCCACTAGGAGCTTCTACTCTAATAGAGACAAAAATGCATGGGGTTATATTCTCAAAAATAAAATAAATAAAGAGATTTGATTGAGGGGAGGGCATAGCTCAAGTGCTAGAGCACATGCTCAGCACGCACGAGGTCTTGGGTTCAATCCCCAGCACCTCCTCTAAAAATAAACCTAATTATCCACTCCCCCTCCAAAAAAAAGAAAAAAAAAGATCAGTGTTCAGTAAAGACAAAAATATACACAAACACGTTCTGAACACGATAAAAGTAGAAATAAGTGGTAAACCTTCCCTCTGAGTATTCAAATAACTAAGTATGCAAAAGCAGAGTAAGATTTTTAAGGAAAACATCTGAGACAGTTTGAATGGATGGATGAAATTCAAGAATATTCCAAGGGAATTGTATATAATAATTTTTAAATGAATAATTAAGCTTATTGAGTTAACTAAGAAAAAGTGTGATTCTAAGGTGAAGGAATTTTTTATGCAATCAATTTGTGTTGGGTGGGAAGATAGTCTGGATGTGAAAATGGATGAATGGATGGATGCGTGGGTGGGTGGGTAGATGGATGGATAGATGGACAGATGGATGAATGGCAGATAATGTTCATATCTACTGTAAGACCTGAGCCTTATTACCAAGGACCTTTACTGTAACAGTGACATAAGTAGATATCACTAAGATACAGTAGAGATGTATGTCAAAGTAACAAACCAAAAAAAAAGAGCAATATAATGTGAGAAATACAAATATTTACCAGAAAATTTACAGGAGACAGGGATTTTTTTCAGTCTGGGAATATTTATGGAAGGTGTCATGGATGAAGTTGATGTCATTGAGATCTGGCCTTACAAAATAAAAATTTAATGACTATTTAAATTAGAAATACTTTTGTTGGAAAAAAGTTTTAATAATACAGAATATTACAAAGGTTATTTATCCCTTCTTTATGACTTATGCCATATATACTTCCCATTGATAGAAGTAACTACTATTAATTTTAATACATTTACCATTGTCATTTTCTAGTTCCCCTTACATAAAGAAAATAAAGATTTTCTTTGGGCATTTGGATACACACACACACACACACACACCCCTCATTTCTCTTAATGACTCAACAATATTTTATTATATGGATGTGTATCATGTATTATTTAAACAGTCCCCTATTGGTGGCAAAATAGGTGATTTCCAAGTTTTCATTACAGTGGCAATTCTGTATTTGGCAATTCTTCAATTCTCAAAAAAAAAAAAAAAAACTTCACAATAAACATAGGGGGGATTATCCTTTGTACTAGAAGTGCAGGATCAAATTTTGTGCATTTAAAATTTTTAGAGATTGCCAAATTGTCTTCTAAAAATGGTATATAAGAATTTCTAATTTTGAAAACTTCTATCAATACAGGGACTTGTCAATTTTCAAATCTTTACCAGTTCAATATTTTAAATGGCCTATTATTATTGTTTTAATTAGAACTGTGATCATTATAGGTCAGGCTGTTCATTCATTTCAAATCTCTGTTTGCTATATATGTGCATACATTATATATCCTTAGGCTGTTTTCTTCCAGATGTTGTCACAAGTGGCAAAATGTCATTCTTTTTTTTACAGTTGAATAGCACTCCTTTTTATTTATGCCGTATCTTCTTTATCCATTCATCCATAGACAGACTCTTAGGTTACTTCCGTGTCTGGGCTATTGTGAATAATTGTGAATAACACTGCAGTGAACACAGGGATGCATGTATCTTTTCAAATCAGTGTTTTCATTTTCTTCGGATAAATACCCAGAAGTGGCATGGCTAGATCATATGGTAGCTCTATTTTTAAGTTTTTGAGACACCTCCATGCCGTTTCCCATAGTGTCTGTACCAATTTACATTCCCATCACCAGTGCACAAGGGTTCCCTTCTCTCCACATCCTCACCAACACTTGTTATTTCTTATCATTTTGATAATAGCCATTCTAACAGGTGTGAGGTGATATCGCATTGTGGTTTTGATCTGCATTTCCGTGATGATTAGTAAAACGTTGAACATCTTTTCGT